ATTATTTCAGATCATCCCTGTCGCATTCAATGCATCTACACGCGTGAAATTAAGCACAAATTAATGACAAATAATCAGCGGATTACTGTGATTAATTTCCATAGGCTGCGGACCCTCCACCAAATCTGAATGCGGCACGAGCATCTCCTCGTCTTCTTGCTGCGAAATTCCAAAACCGCAAAAATCAGAGTTCTGATCAACAAAAACCCACGCTCACCTCGACGAATCAAAACCCTAATCTGTAGGCATCAAACTCCCGGGCAAATAAAATGGAAACTACTCAAAATTCAACTCAATTCAAAAACCTCCCAATCAAAACCAAAACCCTAGTGGATCAACATGCCCCTCGACACGTTAACACCAAAACGAGCAAGCACACACAGGTAGGCATACATGTATACAAATACGGGTAAATAGAGAGAATTAGAAGGGGTAACATAGTTACATCTAACGGTGGAGGAGTCATCATAGTCATGTGTGAAGAGAGACGGACCGTATCCAGAAAACAAGAGATTCAAGCGCAGAGAAAACCAGTAGGAAGAAAGAAAGAGGGAAAGAGAGAGGGAATAGGGGAAGCAGAGGAGCGAGCAGTGGAAATGAGCGACACTCGCGAAAGAACTGGTACAGAGAACAGGGGCAGGCCCGTGGAGAGTTTTTTCTCTTCGGTGGTGGAGATTTTCGGAATTGCGGTAAACTAGAGAGGGTAATTTCGGAATTCCATCCGACGGCTTTGATTGAATGTGTGCGCGCTGCTGTATACGTGAGCCAAAAGAACCAATAGTAGATTGACAGACAGGCAGACGACGACTGTGACGTCAGATATCGTGACGTGGCAGCCTGTGATGTCACGTGCGGGTGCGAAAGTCGGTGGACACAATCTGCTCTGGTCTATACTCGCAGTACTCTAAATAATCCTACAATTTTCACTTATTTTTATTTATTTTTTTGTAAGGTAACTTGCCCTTCATTAATCATTTCCTAATTTTGCTTCCTTCTGTCTCCTTTGGAAGGGTGGAACCTTTTGAAGAGGCATAGCATAGCCTTTATTGGGTAATCTTGTTCTTTTGTAAATTTAAATTGATTAATTTTTGCTAATAGTCAACAAATGGAAAATTATTAGTTTAATTAGTAAAATTTTAAATTTTATTTTTATTATAATATAATAAATATGACATTAAAAATTCCTCTTTATTATGACATTTTTCCCTTTTCATATTCTTATAATTATGTATATATATATAAATACGTGAATAAAAATGAAATGATTAATATGTTTCATAAATATTTTTAATTATGCTTTGACTATTGCAATATAATATATAACATCATATATGTCTTATACATATTAATTATATGAATCTACGAAATGATAAATATAAATAATTTTATGTACCTAAAAGATAGTGTTATTTTTAAAATTGGTAAATAAGTTTACTTTCTATTTTAACTAATTAAATTTAACTATTAAAATATCGTCAAAAAAATAACAAACGAAGGTAATAGAAAAAAAAATTATGTTTTTATAATATCTTAAAATAAATATAATTTGAATGCTAAAATATTATTAAATAAAAAAAGAAAGTACGTGGGAGTATAATATTTATTTAGTAATAATTTATATTTTAATATTTTTATTACTGACATTTTATATTTATTTCAAACGTAATTTTTTTAATAAAAAATAAAATAATAATACAGTGTTTAAATATTTAAAAAAATAATTAAATAGTTTATTGTCTTTTTTATTATTATTAAGTTAATTAATTAGTCCAAAATGTTTTTAAATTTATTTTTGATGAATGTAAATAAAATCTAATTATTTAAATTTTTAAAAAATAAAAAGAAACATAACATTTGAAATAAATAAAAAATTAAAAAAATTAAATTATAATAAAAATAAGATATTAAAGATTAATTTAATATTTTATAATAATAATAATAATAATGAAATTTATTAGATTTTGTTATTACATTCAGATTTCCCTTTTTATATATGCCGAGATTCATGATGTCGTTACGACCGATGACTAATCAATAATCATGGCAGCTTTTCTTTTTCTTTTTTTTTTTTATCAAATAAATAAATAATGAAATTAAAAATTATATCCACGTGGATTGGGCTTTTCATAACCCAAAATTATGGGCCGGATTCATAAGTTAAATGGGCCGGATCGTGTTGGGCTCTGTTTGTTTCTCAACAATTTTATCTTTGATGATATTAAATAAAAAGAACAATTTAAATTGGTTTTAAGATAATTGTCAAACACTGCCTTACGTGAATTTTCGAACGTGTTTTCACTATACATGTTTTTTTACTTATGAAAACATATAAGAATTATATTTTTTTTTTTTGAAACAATCAAATTGATAATCAATATATAAGTTTCTAAAAATTATTAAAAATAATATTTTATAATTTTATCACAATTTTTTTTATTATTCTAATTTTAGAACTAATTAATTTTAGTTCTATAAATAAAATTTATAATAATATCGTATTAATTAAATAATAGGACAAGAGTATCACTTAACTAATGTTTTGTTTGAAAATAATTAAATAAATATAAAAAGTAAATATTTCCTTATTTATTTACTGTTACTATATTTTTATGTCAAAAATAACTGTTCAAATATTTTTGCAATGATATTTATTAGAATTAAAAAATGAAATTATTTCTTAAAAGATGAAAATTTGAGTATTTTTTTTTTATTTACAGATTTAAAGTATTTGAATTTCAAAAGAAAATTTATGAAATCTGAAACTAATATATAAATCCTAAAGTATCTAATAGATTTCCCACACAGATTAAAGATATATATATATATAGTTAAGAAAAGAAAGATCAATGGCAACTGCAAACATAAGGAATAACTTAGAAAATCTTTGGACTACTAACATACTAAGAAATCAAATTATTTTCCTTCGAGGAAAAAAAGAAGAACATCAAATTATATGGTTGAAGGACAAGGGAGACTTGGCTGCAACGGTCTCAGCTTTCTCCTTCTCCAGTTGAGCTTCAAGGTTCAGCATCACGGCCTTCACCTGCTCGATTTGCTTGGCAAGGTCTTCCAGCCTAGACCCACTAGCCTGTTCCTTTTTCTCTTTGATCTCCGCCACCTTCTTATTCAGCCAATCCACCTGGAAACCGCCATACTCCAGATCAATCAAACCGTCTTCGACCCATTTCAGGTCCTCCTCAGAAATGTCCTCTGGAGATTGACATAACATGTCCATGACTGCGTAGAGGAAAGCTACGAATGCTGATCGAAGCTCAACATTGCGCAGCCGACAGTTTGAAGCTAAATCGGGATGTTTCTCAAAAACCTGCCTAATTATATCTACCTGAGGCAATAGCACCAGAAAGCCATTGATATCAATAGTTTTGCACTCTGATTGAGGCTCGGATTGAGAAGCCAAATCTTTTGGAGCAGAGATGGTGGATTGATCATTATCCAAAGAAACAAGTTCAGGTTGGAGTACTTGATTATTTCCTTCTTCTGCAAAATGAGGCCGATCAACAGGAAGCTCATCTTTGATATCATGAACTTTATCTTGCACTTCCTCTGACAAAATTTGAGGTTGGTCAGAAACTTTAATACCGAGCCCTTCTTCTTCAAGGGAAACAATGGTTGCTTGTTCAACTTCCTGTTGACATGGAGAATCTCCGTGAGATGCCACTACTAATAAAGTTTCATCCTTTGCCAATTCAGATTCAATGGGCTGAATCAACTCATTTGTTTCACTCTGGATTTCGATTGTTGGGGCTATTATTTCGAATGGTTCATGATCAGTTTCTGAAATGTGCACTTCTGTTATATTCTGGATGTCGACTGTTGGGACTAGTAATTTGGCTGATTCTTGTTCAGTTTTCGAGATCTGCTCTTCTCTTTCACTCTGGATTTCTACTGTTGGGACCAGTAATTCTACTTTTTCGTGTTCAATTCTGGAGATCTGCTCAGAGTCATTGGATAAACACTCCTGAATTTGAAGTTCAATAATAATCGCATCATTCACAATAAACCCTCTGTGGGGATCTAAGATCTCTGCGAGAGGCATAAATGATGTGAATCCCCAATCACTCTCAGCTGAATTGAACAGGTGTAGTGTTTCTGCAACAATCGAAAAGAGAACAGCAAAAACACTAATTAAACACGCAGGACTAACAGAAAAATCATCACTAGGACCTTATACAGCAAAATTAAATGAGCATCCTAGTACTACTCAATGGCTTAAAAAAGGAACAATCCAAGTTTTGATACTTGCTCTCTATTGGTTACAGATATCAACTCAACCATGAATCTTTAAAGATCTCCAATAAGTAACTCATCAGCCAATTCAGGATAAATTCAAGTTTTTACCAACTATATTTTTGATATAAAAATTGATGAAAATAAATATAACAATTGCTACCCATTTATAAATTTGCTTAAAATTTTTGGTAAAATAATTGAAGTAACTATATTTAACATTTACTTATATGTGTGTGTATATCAACTCAAAGTTGAATCTCTTAATGATCTTAAAGTTGTTAAATAACTCATCTGCTAATGCAGGACAATATTTGTAGAAATATATACTAAAAAGATCTCTCGCTAATGTTCGTCAGATTTAAAACAAGAAGTTTCTTAGTTATAGTTTAAGATCCATCTCATATATATATATATATGGTCGTGTGTATGTGTATATTACATATAGTGTTTAGATAAATATGAATGTCATAAAAAAACTATAGAGGATCAAATTCCGCAAATTCAAAAAACTTAGATTACGTTAGATTTTGCTTAAAATAATATCTAAAATTTATGTTGCAAAAGAAATATTGAGGAAATTAAATCAAACTGCTCAAAAACATAAATAATCAGTCGAAGAGACGAGAGAGTTACCCTTCCTTACAGATCGTCTCCGACTGAATTGATTGATCACAGTCAAGATGAACGTTGCTTGTCTACTCCATCCCGTTGGCAGTACTGCAGAATCAGCAACATCCAAATATACCGAAAGCTGGTTCCCGCCATTTCCTTTTGGGAAAACTAGTATCCGCCTAATTCCACCAAGAACCCAACCAATCCAAATCAGTTGCTTCCAAAATCAGTCCAAAAAACTACAATTTACAGATAATACACGAGGTCATGTTCCGATTTAGGGAGAGCGCGAAATGTTCAATTACCACTTATGGCCACAAAGCACAAATGTCTCAGAATAAAGTTTCTTTTCGTTCCGTCTCGTAAACCCCTGGATTTCCCAAGCAAATTTCGAACACAAACCATCATTTGCTTGCGGATTCTTCACCGTCTTCGCCGGCTCCATTCCCGCCACCACTATTCGCGAATCAAAAAACATAAACATCAACACATAATACAAACCACAAAAGAAAAGAATCCGGTACCAAGATCCTATCGCCATAGCCAAATTCACACAACAATTTTCAGATCATAACATCACCGAGCAAATACAGTGTTACACCTTAAACAGTAAGATACAGTGTTTCATTACTTGCCTTTACTCCAGAATCGGTTAAAAGAGAGCGCTGACTCGATACAGCATATAGAGAATGAAAAGCAGCACTTTCACCTAGAAACCTTTTTTGTCGTCTCTGGTTGTTCAATCATCCTGACGGATATTTAAATACGGGAGGTCTCGTACAACACGGTGAGGGCAAGTTAGTAAATCTACATTTCTTAACGTAGGATGAGTTCTGTTTCCGTACAGTAAGGTAATTATCAACTATAACTGACCAATGAAAATCTGACACGTGGAAAGCCGATATGCGTATTCTGATTTAAGCTAATCCCCATTGATTTTTTTTCTGTTAACTCAAATCAAAATCATAACTAACTGTTAAGATAATATTCTACGATTATTGACCAAAAAATCCACTGACAGACCAAAACTTTATTGGGCCCAGCCCATTTTGTAATTTGCACGTGCTAATTAGAGAATCCAACCTGCATGGACGCCACGTGTCAGGTAAACAGACCTCCACGTAACAACAGGTGGACGTACAAGTGTTCAACGGAAAAGACCCAGCGCACACGCCATCTTCATATACGTATTACACATGTATATATATATATATTTATATAAATTAAATATAATAAAAAATTAAATAAATACTGGTCTCTCTATGAAGTCGTTCGGCTTGGTGTAAGTAAGCAGGTAGGTCGCCAGCTTTGAGTTGTGGGGAGAGATGGAGGCGACGAGCGGTGTAGTTGCGGGTGCAAGGACGGTGATGGAGCAACAGCAGCAGCAGCCGTTGATGGAGCAGACCATGAGGAAGAAGATGAAAGTGATGGTGGCGATCGACGATAGTGATTACAGTTTCTACGCACTGAAATGGGCCATAGATAACCTGTTCGGTGCAATGGGGGTAACACCGGAGGCGAGCCAGGAAGGTGGGATGCTTACTTTGCTTCATGCACAGGAGCCTTTCCATCAACTTGCTTTCCCTGCTGGACCCGGCGGTGCTACAGGTCAATATACATACATATTATGTATATGTTATTTTATTTTTCAAGAAAAAGTAGTATAAAGCCACAAATGATCCTAAAATTTTAGCAAGTTTTATTTGAAAAAAAAAAAAACATAAACAAAACACAAGTAAGATATATAAGGAAAAACAGAATGAATCTACTGAAAAAATATACACTATAAGTAATTAGGAAAGGAATCTATATATTAGGAAAGCGGGTAAATATCTGGAAAACAACCATAAAAGGTAATAAAAAACGCTAGAGGAAGGGCTTGAACCTTCGACCTTGTGGTTAACAGCCACACGCTCTAACCAACTGAGCTACCCCAGCTGCTTGTTCTTTCTTTTCAGTATAAAAAGTTAAAGATGACTACGGATGACTGGATTCATAAATATGAAAATACTTGTTGGGTGTTTGATTGGAAGTGTTTGTAATTTTGTTGTTTGTTAAAGCATTCTATGCATCGTCTTCTGTCCTTGATTCTGTAAGAAAAGCTCAAGAAGAAAATTCGGCAGCAATACTCGCCCGTGCACTGAAGGTGTGCAGAGATCAAAATGTAAGTTCGTATTATTTATTTCAACAGTAAACTTCAATTTAAATTTGATATTAGGCTCTTGAAAATCTAATTACTAGTGAATTGGGTATTATCTGTTCGGCAGATAAATGCAGAAACTCTTATAATGGAAGGAGAACCTAAGGATGTGATTTGCGACGCAGTGGAGGAGATGAAGATTGATCTGCTGGTGGTGGGCAGCCGTGGCCTCGGCAAGTTCAAAAGGTGTATAAATATTTATCTATACTTAGTGCTGTGTTAAGAATTTTATATTATCAGTATTTTTCCCGACAAATTTGATAATTTGTTGCCAGTAGAAAATTTTAAGTTAATAAGGGTGAAGATAGATAGTTGATGAAGGATGTGATTTATGGTTTAGCTGTTGTGGTTGCAGAGCTTTCTTAGGAAGTGTGAGTGACCACTGTGCTCATCATGCCAAATGTCCCATTCTCATTGTCAGGCCACCCAAGGGGCTCAAGCCGTAGAACAATTCAAACTTCCATCAACACAATCGGAGACAAGTACGAATATACTCGGCAGCGGAGCAGTAAAAAACTTTATGATGTAAATAAATGTTATAATGTAAAGTCTAGTCTACGTTATGGATCAAGTCAGCTTCCATCATACGAGTATAATCGGTAGCTATGATGATAATACTAAAGCAGCAGGGCAGTAAAAACTTTATGATACGAAGTAAATGTTACGATGTAAAGTCTATTTTGCCGTCCGTCGACTCTGGTATTACTGTTCTTCGTCTGCTTATTTCTACATAAAGGAAGGCAGATCAAGTAATAATGTAAAAAAAAGGGTATAAAACTCATGTACATGCTCAGTTCTCTGTTGAAAAATGCCAGAAGAGTGATGCGGTATACGCTCAAAGATCAAATTCAAGTAGTTGATATTACATGGTGATAGATCCTGCCGGTAAAAACTTTATGATGTAAAGTAGAAGTCTAATTTTACGGTTCATCCAATCAGCTCTTAGTACTCCCTTCATAGATGGTAAAGTACTTCTAAGACGACAGTTCGTTCTACTATGTCAACTTAGTTCCACATAAAGAAAGGCAGATTAACTAATAAAGTAAAAAAGAGTATAAAATTCATTTATATGCTCAGTTGCCTGTTGAAAAATGTCAGGAACAGCTATACAGTATGTGCTCAAGATCAAATTCAAGTAGTTGATGTTACATGTGCGGAAGATCCCGGCAGTTGAACTAGGCTAAAGGCCAATCTGAAGCGGGTGAAGGGTGAAGATTAATTATCCCTGCAGATAAATCACCATAGACACTCTGTTAGAATAGGAATCAGCAATTCATCAACAAGTTTCTGCTATTATCTCTATGTAAAACACCTGCTGGCTCATGAGAATTTCCACAGCGACATTAAGATCTCCATCAGCAGCCGCTAATGCTACCTCCACTTGCGTCTGAAAGAAATCCAAGATATTAGCAGAGTTACAATAACCACTTTTCTCGTTGTTTTTCCCTTCTCTTCCCAGCCTCCCAGCAAAGAATAGAAGAAACACATGTTGAAGCCATAGATATCAAATAAATCAGTAAAAAATGCGGTTTCACCATTTGCAATTTGGTCTCACAGTTCAAACCCCTGTAATTTGTTTTTTGATAGTTTAGTACTCATGGTCTGGTTCTTTGTTATTTCCATGAAGTGTTAGCTTTTCAGATGTTATGAGCAGTATCTGAATTTCTAAACTAGGTAAACAAAAAATTCAATACAAGACAAATTAATACTATGTTAAGAAATTCCATGTAAAATTTACGCAAACTGGTAAATGTAAGAGTTCTACTTAAAATGATAAAAGTATATACAAAACTCCATGTAAAATTCCATATATACTCAATATTTTAATCACCATGATTGATTTATACTCTCCTACAAACTAAGTGTGAATTTATAAATGGACTCTACATTATTCCTAGAGTTGTTCCAGAGCATATCCTAAAATAAGAAAAAAAAAACAAAAAAAAGATAATAGGCTCTAAAGATTAATAATTTTATATATGATGACAAAAAAAATATGAGAAACAGTTCAATTTTTTGTCATCATATATACAAAATATCACAGGGTTTGATTTGTAATTAGACTAAATCAAGGGTGTGGAACTGTAATTTGCTAATAAAGCTAGATGCAGAGACAGGCAAGGATGAATTTCTTTAGGTGTTCAATCAACAGAAGAGAATCACAGAGGTGAGCTACACAACAAAAGAATTGAGAGAAGTTTCAAAGTATAAGAGGATGCACCCTTTCGAAGCCCATGGATACAAGCTTTTGGATTTGCTCATCTGAAGCAACGGCCCCCTGCATTGATCAGAAATGGCGAAAAAAAAGGTTTAGGAACTAGAACTTTCTTTAAAAAGAGCCTGTTGAAAAGAAAACTAGGACCTGAGAGCGTAAAGGGGCCCCTGCACCTGCTGCAACTGTGTTATCTGTAACTGACTGCCTGGAGCAGAAAAGGAAAGAAATGATCTTTGATCTAAAATTTAATAACTCTTGCATAAATCTAATGAATATGTCTATCTAACGTAAGCATAACATATTTCAGACTAATAACATGTCCTAGAAACAAATAGACCCATCATCAACTGTGGTCCGACAAAAAAAATTGAAACAGAGGTTAGAAGAAAATCAGGCCTATTCTCAAACTTTTTTCTGAGAGAGAAAACAAGTGGCTTACTTTGACAAACATTCAGGGATTCTGTGATAGCTCAACCCAGACTGATACTTGGTTTAGCATTACCAATTGAACAAGGATAATGAATGATTGATTCAATTAATAAAAATCATGACAGCAGAACATAAATGTCTTCAGGATATGAACAGTGTTAAAAATAGGAACATATACACAGTACAAAATTCAGATCCAACAATTACTGCTAACCACCTATCTACTAAGACCAAGAAACAGACTTAACATGAAATGCATGATGCATTCCAAGGTACCTTCCATCTGGTACCCGCTCTCCTATACCAGTTCCCGTTGTATCTGAGAGATGGTCTGAGCTGCTGTTATCCAAGAGCCTAGCTTGTAGGTTTGAATCTGCATGCACATCAGGAACTGTTTGACCATGACCTGCACCAAGTGCCCTTCCCCTCCCAGGAAACCTAAGATTTTCTTGTGGTGACTGCAGGGTGTAAAAAATATATGACATAAAATCCATCAGAACTTTGTCTACATGACCCTAATACTTGATAAAACAAAAGGGAAGAACAACAATAAGCTACGTGCAACATCCCAATAAAGTCTGTTCCACTGCACTAAACTCTTATCTTAATGTGCAAACGTATTGG